GTGCTAAAGGGCAGCCTTCAGAAGGGTTCTGTTCTAAGAATTATTTATCTAATTTTATTATTATTTAAAAATTTTACTATAGGCACGTGCATTCATGAGACAGAGAGGAAGAGAAAGCAAGCTGCCAGGTCCAGTACTTGAACTGTAGTCAGTCATGTGGAGTCCAGCACCTTAACCACCACACCACCCATGAGCCCTTGGGAAGGTATTAAGGTTTCCCCCTCATTTGAAGCCAGCTCCAGATCATGATCATGGGAATGCATGTTTCTGGTATACTCAGGGAGGTCTTTGGACATGAACCTGAACCTTCCTTCAGCCTCACAGTTTTTGTTTTATGGCTGACCCACCACTCAGCCCCTCCCACCTTGGCTTTTGTTTATATTTGGTCATAAACACTGTATACAAACAACATAAAAGAAATCTTGGGGCCAGCTCCATAGAGCAGTGGTTAAACCCTGTGCATAGGGAGCCAGATCCCATGTGGCTGACTGTGATTTGAATCCTGGCCCAAGTGGTTTAAAAAATATGCTGGGAAAAAAAAAACAAAAACCAAAAACCGAAACAAAACAATGCTGAGTATATGTGCACGCATGTCCCAAGTCCTGACAGGATGGAGAAATGAGTAGGGTCAATGGCATGACCATGCCCCAATGGGGAGTGGAAAGAGAGCTGCACTCGCACGCTCTCTCTCGATCTTTGCCTCATGTGCATGAACACACGCATCTTCTGACAATTAAAAAGAAAAAAAGAGATCGAATGCTGGTTCCATGGCCTAGTGATCAAGGGAGCTGGATACCAGCTCATCAGGGCACCTGCACATTGATGCTCTTTTCTCTGCCTGGGCAGCTACACAGCTTAGCATCACCCTCATCTGGGCAGAGACTCCTGGGACTTAGCTGCTCTGGGTCTCCTTTTCTTACCCCTTGATTACTCCTACACCCGGGGAGGTCACTGTTGGCGTTGGGGGGTGGGGGTAAACATTACTTAATGTGAAGGTTGCTTTCTAGCCCCCTGCCTCGCCAGCTCCAGGACAAGCCTTGTGCTAAGTCTTACATGACAACAAATCAGGATTCATATTTCTAGGGGACCAGCAGATGGCATGGTGGTTAAGGCACTGGACACTCCTACATGGCTGACCACAGTTCGAGTCCTGAACCTGGTGGCTTGCTTTCTCACTTTCCTTCTCTCTCTTGCTCTCATAAAATTAAATGAATAGTTACCCCCAAAAATGCATCAATTACTTGAAAAAAATTTGCATTTGTGATCTAAGGAAGCAGGAGTCTGGCAGTGGATACTTGAGCTCATGGTGGGAGACCTGGGACAGAGGCCTTGCTAGGGTTTGCAGCAAAAGCAGCACCAGCCATCATCCATCAGAAGGGGTGGCTTTCAATTATTAGTCTGAACACATGGGAAAGAATCCATGAGCATTATCTCTATCTCTATCATTTGACATCTGATGTCAAAAGAAAAGTGAGCCGTATGTTGGTTTTTGGGAAATGGAAGCTCTCTGGGAATCGGGAAGGAAACAGTAGTAGCTCTGGGGAAGGGTCTGGAAAACTGGAGGAAAGTCTGGATTCTACTGTTAGGAGCTCCTCAGGTCCAGCTATTTAGACTCCTGAGTCTCACTTTGTGAGAAACAACTGACCCAAGGGATCAAGAAGAACATAGGAAGGGATGAAGAGAGATCCTTCTTAAATGCTGGCAGTTGTTTATAAAGTACTGCATAATCTCAGTGAAAACAGAATTAGGACCAGACTCTTTAAGGTCAATGCTACCATAAAAGTGACCAAGGGACCAGCAGATGGCGTAATGGCTATGTCGATGGACTCCCATGTGGTCGAAGGTGGCTCGAGTCCAGGACCCGGTGGCTTAAACTCACTCCAGGTGTGTGTGCATGCATGCCCAAGATCCCGAAAGGAGAATGCAGGAGAAGGGATTGCGGCGTGGCCATCCCCCCTGGGGGCTGATTTCTCATTTTCTGTCTTTTTCTGTCTTTCTGGCGAGTGCATGCGCCCTATAGCAAAAAACGGGGGGCGGTGCCATAAAAGAAAAAAAATAAAAAAAAAAAAAAAAAAAAAAAAGTGACCAAATAAAGAACCCTAGCTGGCAAGAAGTAGGCAGTACCCCAAGGGTAGTCACTAGATACCAGCTAAAGACAGGGACTGAGCCTCATGAAGAAACAAGCACTGCTACCTTGACCAGGCCTCTTTTTGTAATCGAGAACTGAGTGGGGGGTTGGGGGACACTGTAGCATAGCAGTCACCCTGCTCTGTGAGGCTGACCCACACGGGTTAGCATCCAGAGACTTCCTGGACTCTCTGGGGACATGCACGCCCATGACCCAGGGCTGGCTGAGGCTGGGAGCGGAGTGCCGTGTGATGACCCTGATGAGACACACCTATCTTTCTATTCGTCTCACTCTTTGCCTGTCTTTCTCACTCACGGAAGAAATTAAAAAATGAACTGAAATAAAAAGGCCAGTGGAAGAACGGACAGTGGTTGCTGTCACACATGCAGTAACCTCTGCAGGTATGATAATACGTGACACTCCATAGACACTTGCATGGTGGCGAATATCTTTAGATACATGGGCTCTGTTTTAATCGGAGACGATTAATTTATTAAACACCTGTAAGTTTGGGTACGGTACATCTATTATCTAATCCTACTAACTTTGTGGGCTAGGTACTATCAGTATTATTTTCAAAGGAGAAAGTGACTCAGGGAGGCTGGATAAACTGCTAAGTAGTATTGAGCTAGTGAACGGTAGCACTAGTATTTGAACTCAAAGCCTATGAGAGAGCAAACAAGTTTAGAGGTATAGAGAACGGGGGGATGGGGGGACCACCGGGTGGCATGGTGGTTAAGGTGCTAGACACTCCCACATGGCCAACCAGGGTTCAAGTCCTGAGTCTGGTGGCTTGCTTTCTCACTTCCTCTCTCTCTCACTCTCACCCTCTATCTCTCTCTGGTCAAATTAAAAAATAAATGAATGAATGAAAAAATAATATTAATTATATAAAAAAAGA